AGGGTCTACAGGATGTTCAGGTCTCACTACTAGATTGGACTCACAGTGGTTCTCCTGTTTACAGCCTCCCAAGTGCTGGGATTACAGGAGCTCTTCACTACACCCAGTGTCAATCACTGTCTCAGCACCCCCCCAGGAGCGGGGCCTGCACAGCAGGCCCAGGAATCAAACCCCCAGGCTCTGAGCCTGCTTGCAGGCACTTTAATCTGCTGAGCTATTTGGCCATCCCTTAAGCATAATTTTCAACTTATCTTATCCAAGCTCAATTGGGTTTAACTGAGAAATAAAATTGTGCAAATATGATTAAAGCATGATGATTTGGATACACATATGTATACATCTCAGCACCCACAATCAAGTTAAATAACACAACTATTACCTCGCACAATAACTCTTTTTTAGTTTTAGTTTTTCAAGTATACAATACTGTAGTGTTCACTATACTTTCCATACTGGTACCTCAGATCAGATCCTGGGGAAAACTCCCAATGGATTCCTGAGCCTTTTAACATGCTGTTCAATTTCTCTGCTAGCAGTCTATTAAGGATGTTTTCAAGTATTTGCATCATGTACATTGTCCTTTGCTGTTCTTTTTTTACAATGTTCTTCTCAGCTTTGCTAGAAGGTAATGCTAGGTGTATACTATGAGTGTTGTGGCTTATATTTGTGGTGTCCTTCGATGGCCTGCTGTATTCAGAAGGTAACTGCATCATCAGAGTGCTCTCCACCTCTCTGGATTGTTTCATTCATAGTTGACACGTAGAAAGTATGGGGCATTGTCCATTGTTTTATTTTTTAGTGTATAAATTTCTTTTGCGATGTTTCTTTTTTTAATTCATGTTTTAAAAATTAGAAACATAAACTAGGATTCATGTTTATAGTAACATTTACAATCACATACATAAGAGGCAATATATATGTATGCATATCATAAAGCTATCAATATATGAGTTTTAATATTTAATGATAAAGATAATGAATTATGTCCATATTCTTGTAAGTATCAATAAATTTTTTGATTTGTTTTTTTGTGGCCAATCTTTTTTTTTTTTACTAATTTTATTGAGAAAAAAATAGCAATGAGACAGTTTCAAAACAGGTTAGTGGGAGAGTTTCAATAATTAATACATTGCATATTGTTGTCTTTGTAGTAGTTATTCACAGTACAAGATACAGACATGATATCCTGTACACAAACACTATTCGTACAAATATTTCTTCTCTTTGAATTAAGAGAAAGTAGCTGTATATCTATCCTATTTTGTATATACAGATACAAAATGGTCCTTCATTTATATCCTCTTTTTTTGTTTAGTTTTGTCAGAGATGGGTATTCCATTGCCACTTAAATAGTGTAGGTGCATGAATTCAGCAAAATAATCCAGTATAATCCAGTAGTCCATAATAGTAGTGGGTTATCTGTAGGACTGTCAATGTCAGAAGTTGCAGACTTGAGCCATTTACATCTCAGCATATTAATATGGCTTTACTTTTTATACCTCATTTTTGTACTTTTCTGCTGGATGGTTAAGACCAAGATAAATCTAGACCTATAAAACAAGAAATGTAACTTTTGTATCTGACAAGGTAAGTCAAATCCCCTAAGGATTTACCCTGAAAACCTGTACCACAGTTTGTAGATCCTTTGTCAGTGTCAGCCATGTGGCTGAGTCATGGCCATTGCTTGACCAATTTGCTCTCTGTGAGAGCCTGAGAGAATGTTTTCTCTCCATGTGACTCTCAGTACAGTGTCTCACTACATAGATTGGACATGCACCATCACAACCAGTCTCCGTCGCCGTCTCAGTGCACCCCGGGCACAGGGCTGGCTCAGATCTTCACGATCAAACCCCGGCCACCGATTCTGGAAGCTTGCTTTTTCACTGTGGTTGTTTAGTATTCTGTCAGAGTTGCTTACCTGTATTTTGAATTTTTTCCTCAAACTTAAAGTGTTTTCTGCTGTGATTTTTGTGAATTGATTTTTTTCATTCTATGTGTGCTGCTTCAATTTTTAACTCCAGTTATGTTTAGGATAATCTTCTTAGCTTATCTTTATCTAGTGGAAGTTGAATGAATTTTTTTGTTCTCTTATAATTTTTAAGCTTCTCTGAGTAAATGATCATAGATTTCTATTTCTGTCCTTGTTTTGTATTTTTATTTTTTATTTTTTATATACGTAGTACAGGGTCTCACTGCACAGACAGGACTCATAGTGATTCTCCTGTTCTTCAGCCTCCCAAGAGCTGAGATTACATCACTCACCACCACGCCCGGTCTCAGTCACTGTCTCAGCATGCCCCAGGGGTGGGGTCAACACAGCAAAGTGGGGATTAAAGCCTGGTCCCTGCACTTCCCAGAGCAGGTGTTTACTCCACTCAGCTACCTCACCAGCCCCAGTTAACTTCTTGATGATAGCCATTCTTTCTAGGGCGAAATGAAATCTCAGTATTGTTTTACTTTTAATTTCTTGAATGACCAGTGCTTTTGAACATTTTTTTCATGTATTTATCTGCCATTTTTATTTCTTCATTTGAGAAATGTTATTCAACTCAGATGTCCATTTTTGTATTAGGTCTTTGAATTTTCGGGACCTGATTCTTTTTTAATTCTTTGTGTCTAGATAGAAGTCCTTTGTCTGAGGAAGAGTTTAATTTTTCTCCCCAATTCCTATGTTTCTGTGTGTCATTTTACTTGATGATGCTCTCAAATCCTGTAGACATTTTCATTCCTTCTCATTCTTGCCCCTCCGAATAGACAGCTTCATTTAGTTTTCTTTGAGTTTACTGATTTGTTGTTTGCTTGATTGAGTCTGCTATTGGAGATGTGCTAAGAGGCTTAGTTGTTTTACTTTCCAATATCAAGAGGAAATCCTAGCACATATATTTGATATTCTGTGACTGTCTCCACTGAGCAGGTTAAATTAAAGATCTCTATATTCTGAAAGATATACTCAAGGCTTATATAGGTAAATTAATGCGACTAGAGATCATACTTGTAAGTGAAATAAATCAGACTCTCATGTGTAAATGATATGTTATCTCCTTAGTGTATGAAACTGAAAGCTTAAATAAAATCTGAAAGGTAACATAGACACTGAGAAAGGAAAGAAACTTCTCAAAAGGAAAGAACAACCAGGATGGGGAAAGGAGAAAAGAAAGGAGAAAGGGAAAATATATGCATACACACACGTGACATTAAGACAATCGTACTACTAATTTTTACTGGTTTATTGAAATGAAGAGTTAATGTTTAATTGATCAATTCTGCATGCCAATATCTGGAAATTTAATAGCTACTTTGAAGACATCAATATGCAATGTAACAACCATTGTTAATTTCATATCATTGTACTTTGAAATTCTGTGCCTTTTTTTGTTTGTTTGTTTGTTTCCCTCATTTTTTGTTCTCTTTAAAAGACATCCACATGAATATCAGCCGGGATACCCACTCCACTGGGATTTTGAATAGATTTAAAATTGAGCCTCAGATCTAAATGGAGAAGAAATCTGTTCTTAGTGTTTCAAACTTGTCTCTTCCTTCAGAACTAACATGCTTGTGTCTTCCACCAATCCACTTTGTATGGATGGTCAGTCTTTAAAATTCCACCTGTGTTACTCATAAAGCTATCCAGGCTCCTCCCACCTAGGCCATACTTGACTTTTTTTTTGAGACAGGTTCTCCCTATATAATTTGGGCTTGTGTTGAACTCACTATGTAGCCCATGCAGACTTGAACTTGCAGCTATCCTCCTGACTCAGCTTCCCAAGTGCTGAGGCTAAAGGCATGCCCCACCATGGCTAGAATAGTTGTTCTACCCCATAGCTCACCCTGATGGTAACATGGATACATTAGTGAGGACACTAAACTTTGAATATAGGACCTTTTCAGGACTCTATTTTTAATTTATTTATTTATTTATTTATTGTGGTACTAGGGATCAAACTTGGGACCTTGTGTTAGGACTCTTCTCAATCTTCTGGATCCATCTACTTCTGTCCTTTGAGGGGCCCTAGGGTTTGAAATCTATAATTTTCCCTTACTGAGATCAATGTAAATTAGTAAAATACAGGGGGCCTAAACAATGCATGACACATACTTTCACACCTACACTGTCATTTGAAAGGGGGTCTCTTCCATGATGCCTAACAACAAAGGTATTCTTTGCCCTAGGAATCTCCAAGATCCAACATGTCCCTACCCCCTTAGGAACCCTCTGTCAAAGGCACCACACCTCTCCTAGGTCTTGACAAGTGGGACCTAGGATGTGCTGAAGGGCACCACATGCCCACTCTGAGCTTTGATCCTCATATTTTGTCAGGAAACTGTTGGACCCAGAGCCCTCATTTTTGAGTGGCTGCCGAAGGAGAGGAGACAACCTCTATGTGGTGACAGAAGCTGTTGAACTGATCAAAGATACTATACTTCGTGACAATAGCAATGTGGCTGTTTCAGGAAAAGCATCTATCCCCCAGGTTCCTTTCATCAAGGTATGGAATGGGGAGGTCAGAATGCAGCAAGCCTAGAATGCTTAATATTTTCGAAGGGACCTAGTTAATCATCCCAGTCAGAGCCTGGTGTCCTACTGGTCTTGGGGCAAAGTATCCTGCCTTCTGATCTGGGACCATATTCTAAACTCCTCATGGACAATGCTTAAATAGAGAATTTTTCAGCATTGGTAAAATAAAAGATGGATTTAATTCATTGGTGTTTAATTTATATTACTTTTATAATATTGGGCAGTAAACCTAGGACCTTCACATGGAGCTACATACCCAATCTCTTTTTATTTTTAATTCTAAGTAAACCACTAGATTGCCTTCATTGGGTAGAACATGGAAGCCTTCTGCCTTAGCCACCCAGAGTGTTGGAATTACAGATGAGCCACTATACCTAGCTTTGTTGTTTGACTTTGTTTTGGTTAAATAACATTCTAAAATATTTATGTGAAAATCTGGTATTAGCAACAAGTACAGTTTCCTGGCTGGAAAAAAACAAGGGGCCAGTGACAAAAAACTTTGGTTGCGAAAGTAACTTTAATTCTATGATAAACTAAAAGGAATGCTCTAATGAGTGAGAATAAATACTTTGAAGCACACACAACCTACGTACTTTCTCACAATCACCAAATATGACGTTTTCATTAAAATAAGCAAACTGATTTATCAGCTAATTTTTCGGACTCTATGAATTAGATACTCACGTTTTATTTTATGTTTCTTTTGTTTTGTTTTGTTTGTGCAGGGCCTCATTACACAGCCCAGACTTGTAGTGATCCTCCTGATTTCTGCCTCCCTAGTGCTGGGATTACAGGCACTCGCCATCGCTGGCTCAGCACACCCGGGGATGAGACCTGGGAGGCATACAGAGCCAGGGATCGAACCCTGGCCCTTGCGCTTACCTAAGCAAGCACTTAGTCCACTAAGCTATACCACAGGGCCCTGATACTTACGGTCTTTACCACATTATATTTTCTGTATAATTTAGTCCTCTCTCAAGAATTTCAAAGCTAAAGAAAAACATGAGATATATACTTTACTTTCCCATGGTTGGTGTATTAGTCCCCAGGGAGGCCCACCCTCATTATGGGTTTCAAGCTCCCTGATTCTATCTAGATCCACACTGCAGAGTGTAAATGGGAAGTTTTAGGCACTTCCCTTAAAAAGGAAAGCGTACCTGTTTCTAAAAGAAAACAGAAACAAAACAAAACCATCTTTTTCTAAAAAACTTGAGCCTAGAATTTGGTGTGTAAGCAAAATACCAAACAAATATGAGTCAAAGATATCTTCTTGTATACAAGGTCCTAAAGCCTATGTGTCCCTCTGCCTTGGAGAGAATGCAGCAAGTGACACAGAAGACAGAGTGTCGCCTTAAGGGATTGAAGGCTTGCCTGCAACTGCAGAAGCAGTGTCCCCACCACAGACAGTGAATGTGAAAGTACACAATCTTGGGATTTGAATCTTTCCTGAGGCTAGAGGGTGAAATGAGGGGAGGGATGAGGGAAGGGTAGAAAATGGGATCCATTTCAACAGCAAGAGAAAGCTAAATGTAAATTTAACTGGCAAAACTCAGAACATTGCAGTATGACAATGGAAACATATAAATATTTGTAAGTATTGGATGACGTGAAGAAAAAAAGTAAAAGTTTGAGAAAAGGAGGAGGTAGAGTAGTAGAAAGTAGGGGACTGTTCCTGTTTTCCTCCATGTTTCCTAGACGTATTTGAGTTTGAAATTGCATGTACATGTTATTGTGATCAAATGTAAGCATGATGCTTAGTGGCATTTTGAAAGATCTAAGAACTACTTTCTCTTGCCAGGCTGAAAGCCAGGGACAAGGTCAGAGGGAGACAACAATGACTGTCCCTCAGGGCACAGTGATGGCCTACAGGAAGAAGAAGCTGGTCATCAAGGACAAATACTGCAGTGAGGAGAAAATGAGAGTGGGTGGGGTGCCTTCTCCTGAGAGAAACAGAACAAAAGAAAGTCCATTCCGCAGCCTCTGTCCAGCGAACAGGATAGGCAATATTTCTCCCTGTCTAGGACACACAGATGTCACACCACCCACAGTCACCTCTTCACAAGGCCTGGCTGAAGTGTTGTGGGGGAGTTGTCCAGAGACTGTCTCCTCCATGGGAGGGGACCCACTTGAGGTGCCCTGTTTGGAGATGTCCTCAGCACTGACCATAGTCTGTCCCTAATCACAGCATCTCTAAGGCATTCAATGTACTGCTGCTCTCAGCATCTTAACAGAGGGAGCCACAGAGCCCTCCCACGTGACCCATAATGTCACAACAAAGGCTCAGAAGATATCAACAACAGTCACAAACCAATCAGCAGACATACTGTCCTAACTTTTGTGTATGGCTCAGAGTCCAAGGTCTCTCCTATCTTACACTGTTCCCATCTGCAACAGCTAATTCAGCTAGGAATTGGTACAAGAAATGGGAGCCACTCTATTCCCTTTAGCTCTCTGTAGTGACCTCCTGCAAATTCTGGTCAAGGGAGGGGGCTGATGCCAGGACCTGCCACTGGCAATAGACAGAGGGAGGCTGGACTCTGACCTAGTGAACTCTAGCTTCCCATGGAAGAGTGCTGAATGCAGTCAGATCTCCTATGGGGCTCAGCAGGAGGAGAGACAAAGGTCAGAGAAAACTGTCCAGGCCCCAAGAGCTAGCAGTGCTGGTAAAGAAGACAGAGAATGACAAGGTGCTTGTAACTTAGGGAGAAGATAAGGAGCCCACTTTCAAAAATGAACAACAACAAAACAAAATGTCCTGAAGGACAGTCATTGTAAATGGTGCAATTAAATGACACCCCAGAGATGTGGTGTAGTGTCCAGGGAGAACCAAGTCCATTTTCATTGGTGGCCAAAGTGGACTTCCTTGGAGGATGAGCTGCAGTGGCTCAGGTGGGAATGCAAGGAGAGGTAAGGGTAGAGTGCAGACCTTATGGGAGCTGGCTGTGCATGGAAGGGAAGAGGAGCCATACCTGGAGGGGGCAGTGGGTGGTGGTGGTGTACAGAACCTGACAGCAGCCGGACCTCTCCACAAGGCCAGGATGCATTCTGGTGAACCAAAGAGGCTTAAGCCAGGCCCATCAATTCCCCACGTCCACTCAGAGAGGAGGTCTCATTTCCATTTTACAGATGAGAAAGTGAACGCTCATAGAGATTCTAATTCTCAAAGTCACTGGCCAGTGCTATGGTAAAATCTTACATTGCTCTGCACATTATGTTCCTTTAGATTTTTTAATGAAGCTTAAATGTGTTTCGTAAGTCAAACATTGTACAAGTTGATTCTTCACTGAATTAGACACTAACTGCATAAACAGAGAGCCTGTATTCCCTGGTGGTCACAGTGTGACTTGCAGGAACTCTTTAGTTACCTTTTGCATGAATTCATTCAGTTCACCGTTGCCAACACATGGAAACTTCAGTGTCTTCTTCCTGGGCTCTTTTACAGTGCCAGACACTTAAACTGACAGTATAGAAGCTTAAGATCTCAACACATTTCTACAGATGAAACCTCTACTTACCAAAGGTTGCAAGACTGGGAGGGGGGCAATAAACATCAGAATGCTAAGAAAAGGTTAACAAGAAGATGATCTACAAGATGTGGAGGACAAAGCTCATCTCTTTTACCTCATAATGTTGGAGGGTATAATGATCTCATTTAACATGCTCATTTTAGTTGAGACTTCACAGGATCCGAGTCATGAGACCCAGGGGCTTCTAATCTGACAAGCATCCCAGGTGGCAGACACAGTTCCCTAAGCTGCAGGTGCACAGAATGGAGTGGTAGGCTGGAATACTGTGCTAATCTGGTTTCTTCTGCATTCAGGCATACTTGTAATCAATGACACAAAGCAGAAGACCTTTCAGTTTGGTGAGTCCCAGTGCCCTATGGAACTTTGATTCCTTTGAATGCCACACCAGCTTTTCTTTGGTTGGCCCAAAAGATACCTTTTCAGGCCAGGCTTTTCCTCCCCTGCCACTGGCCTTTTTTCAACCCAGATAGAGATACCAGGAAACAGAAGCAAGCCAGAGATGAGGGGGATAATCTCTGGGGCTTCTTGGCTGGACAAATTTCCCTGTGGGAGGGTACAGTGAGGAATAAGGGGAAGTGGGGAGGAGCTGGGAAGGTGAGCAGAATAGGGAAAAGTGGAAAGAAGGAAGAAGGAGATGGAGATTAAGTCTTATGAGGTAATATTTGTCTGTGTCTTTCCAGTGAAACCCATAATGGAGAGTAGAAGAGGGGTAGTTGTTCAAATTCAGCCTTCAAGGAAATGTGTTTACAAAGAAGAGGAACAAAAGCCAAGGAGAGCATCCTTCAGTGAGCAAGAACCCAATGGAGGCAGCTGGGTGGGAGTTCCTCCTCCTGAGGAGAAATAGCAGAAGGCCAGAGGGTACCACTTCTGTTACTCTACCTATCCAGGGTGGAGTATGAACAGTGTCCCTCCCTGTGTGGCCACATATCTTCCACCACCCACAGCCACCTACTTTCATGGTTCATGAAATATTGCCAGTGAGAGAGGAACAGAAACTATAACTGTATCCTTCATTCTACACAAAGGGAATCCACTTGATGATGCCTTTGTTACCATTACCCTTTGCTTTGCCATCAGACTCTCTGACCATAATGAGGCCCTGTGGGCAAAGGATAGGGGTAAATGAAGATAAGGACAGAGAAAGCAGAGGCAGAATTTAGGGAAATCAAATGTTGGAGATTCTTGGGTGGGGCTTTATCTTTTCTTTCTAGAGTTGGAGTTAAGGCCCACTCATTCAATAGATTTGTGAGTATGTGCTGGGATGAGATATGGGTCCAAGTCAGCACACATTGCGCCAGATGTGTCACTTGCCCTTACCTGCCTGCTCTGTTCTCTGTCTTGACTCTGGGTATGATGGAATGCAGGGCCAGGGAATGTGGCAAGGAAGAGGGATAGACTAGTGTTAAGTCAGCAAGAAGGCAGAGAGTAGAGAGGACAGTGAATGAGAATAGACCCTACAGAATTTCTCAAAATCAAATTTGGAGATTAAAAAAGGTCAATTTTTGTTTCTATTTCTAGGAAGAATAAAGAAACCTTTTTGGGGAGGTAAGTGCTTTATTAAGAGGGAGGGAACCTGGGCTTCTGAGTGGGAAACTAAAATTTGGCTACTAAACTTGAAAATTGCCATGCAACTCAGGTGATGGAGCTGTACCTCCAACTGCGCACGTTGGTTGGGTCTCCTTATTTTTATATACATGCAAGAACACTTACTGAGGACTCCCAGGAAACAGTCACTTTTGTGCCACCTGATATATGCCATGTAATAAAACAGGGAGATGGTCTCACTTTTTTGGAGCATGCACTGTGGTGATCACTGTCCCTGGAGGCCACCTGGATCCTCTTGGGAGAATCAGAGAGCTAGGAACATCCTGAGCATGTTTATATGTTCAGACCGTGACTCACTGGCACAGATGTGTGATAGTAAAGGGACATTACTATTTGCTGGGCACCTTACAAACACAGATTCATGTAATCCTCCCCATGTGCCTACTGAGCAGGTGGGCACAGGGATCCTAGAGCACTGAGGATTGTCAGCTGAGATGGGTGTGTTCAGGGTGATGTGGACGTAGAAAAAGATTTTTATATCTTGAGCTGAGTACTAGATTTTACACCACTCTTGACTATCCCAGAATCCCACTTTGGTCCTTTTCTTCCACTCTCAATGATTTATAATCAGAATCTCTATGGTTCCTCCAGGATTGTATCCCTTACTTCCAGAGCACTGAGATTGGCCTCCTCTCTAGACTCTTAGGACAAATTCATTGGTAGAGCCTAACCCATGAGCTAAGAGAATTTTAACAGGAGAAATTTCTCTGTTGAACTGTACAGTGAGAAACAAGAGCAAGTGAGGAGGAGGTGGAAACATGAGCAGAGTAGGGAAGAATGGAAATGGGGAGGAAGCATAGAGAGCCTAAGCCTCATGAGTGAACACTCTCCTTTGTCTTTCCAGTTCCACAGAACATGAAACTCACAAGAAAACCACAGCTTGAAATCAAGCCTTCATTTGGAAATGTGTTCAGTGAAGAGGAGCCCAAGCCAAGGAGTGAATCCTCCAGTGAGCGGGAACCCAAGGGATGCTGCTGGGTGGGGCTCCTTCTCCTAAAGAGAACGAGCAGAGGAAAGTCACTGGGTGCTACCTCAGTTGCTCTGCCTGTCTGGGATGGAGGCTGGGCAATGTTTCTCTCTCTATGGCCACACATTTCCCACCACCCACAGCCCAGCTGAAATGATGCCAGTGGGACAGGAAAAGATACTAGAACTGGATCCTTCAGTCTACCCAAGGGGGAATCCACCTGATGATGTCTACTGATATTCCTCACTGCTTTGGTTTTGGATGCCCTGCCTATAACTGGGCTCCTGGGCTTAAGAGAGGGGAAATGAAGAGACAGACAGAAAAAGCAGAGACAGGATTTGGAGAAAGCAAACATTTGAGACTGACTTTTGGGTGGCCTTTTTTTTTTTTTTTTGTCTTTCTGGAGTTGGAGTTAAGGCCCACTCCCTCAATAGATGTGCCAGTGTGTGCTAGGGGTGTGAGTGTTGATCCTGGCTAGCATATATTGATCCAGAGTGTCTGCCTTTGCCTGATGTCTCCATCTTCTGCCTTGAGTCTGGGTGCTATGGAATGGGAGGGCCAGAGAGGCCAGTGAAGTAGAGCACTGGAGCAACATGGTGGCAGCAAGGAGGTCAAGCAATGAGACTAATCAGTAGGACGACAGACCTTCCAGGTATCTCAAAGGCAAGTTCAGGATGAAGAAGATCTATTTTTGATTCTCTTTCCAGGGAGAACATAGGAACCTTTGGGCAAAGTAAGTGTTTCTTAAGAGTGAGGGGAGCTACAATTCTTGTTGCATAGGTCTTGCTTTATCTTGGTCTTAACCATCCAGACCCAATACTATTATGGACTACTGGACTCTTTTAGAATATTTTGCTGAGTTAACACACCTATAATATTCAAATGATGGAACTAAACAAAAAAGGAGATACAGATGAATGTCCATTTTGAATCTGTGTATTCAAAATGGTTAGGATAGATAAATAGTTACATTCTCTTAATGAATAGAGGGATTTGTTCTAGTAGTGTTTGTAAATAGGATATCATGTCTGTATCTTGTACAGCAAATAACCACTAGGAAGAGAGTATGCAATGTGTCAATTATTGAAACTGTCCTACCAATTTGTTTTGAAACTGTCTCATTGCTATTTGTTTCTCAATAAAATTATTGAGAAAAAAAGTATATAGAAGCTGGGCTTGGTAGCATGTGTCTATAATCTCAGATTAAATCATTTTATGCATTGGTTAAAAAAAGAGTGAGGGAATCTAGATTTCTCTGTAGGAAACTGCTGATTGCCTACTGAAGTTGCAAGTCTGTGTAACTCGGGCGAGTGAGCTTGCCTTCCAAGTGTGCATGGGGGTGAGATGTCCTTATTCACACGTGCATGCAGTGAACATTCACTGATGACTCCCTGCACAGGAGTCCTTATTAAGAAAGCTTACATATTTCCATTAATCGAACAGGGAGATGGACCCACTTCTGTGGACCAAGCACTGGGTGGTCACTCATTCTCAGTGTATCACTATAGGTCATGTAGCTCCTCATGGGAGCATCAGAGAGTTAGAATCATCCTGAAATTGTTCAAATGTTCAGACCTTGAATCGCTGACACAGGTGCGAGATAGTAAAGGAGGCTCCTGAGTGCTGGGCACCTTGCAAACACAGGCTTATTTTTTCCTCACTGTGTCCACCTTGAGCAGGTGTGGGTGTGGTTCTCAGACCATGGATCATTTTCTTGTGTAGAGCTGAGTACTAGATTCTACACCTGTCCTGATTCTCCCAGAATTATATTTTGGTCCTTTTCTTCCACTTTTAGTGATTAACTTTCAGAACGTTTATGGTTGCTCCAACAATTCCATCCATTAACTCCTGAGCCCTGAGACTGTCCACCTTTCCGGACTCTTAGGACAGTTTCATGACTAAAGACTAATCCATAAGCAGAGAAAAGTTCAATCAGATAAAATTCTGTATTAAAGTGTATAGTGAGAGACAGGAGGAAGTGGGGAGGAGCTGGAAAGGTGAGCAGAATAAGGAAGAATGGAAAAGAGGGAAGGAGGGAAGGGGGACTAAATCTCATGAGGGAACATTTTCCTTTCTCTTTCCAGGTGTACTGATGCCAGTGCCACATCTAATCAAGGCAGGCATGGAAATTTACAGAGATCAAGAAGATATAGAAGAGATAGAGAATCTAAGCTCAGGATTCTATGGTGAGCAGGAATGTATAGAAGAGCTACAGGATCTAATGAAAGAACTCTACGGTGAGCAGGGACCCAAGGGAGGCAGCTGGGTTGGGATTCCTTCTCCCCAGGAGAAAGAGCAGAGGAAAGGCCAGTGGGTACCCCCTCTGCTGCTCTGCCTGCCTGGGGTGCAGGATGAGCAGTGTTTCTCCCCATCTGAGCACACATTTCCCACCACCCACAGCCACCTCCTCCCATGATCCAGCTGAAATGTTTTCAGTAGGGGACACAGTGACACTAGGATTTTATCCTTCAGTCTGCACATAAGGAGTCCACCTGATGATGCCTTTGTTGCCATTACACAGTTTTGCAATTGAGACCTCTGGCCATAATTGGGTCTTCTGGTCATAGAAAGGTAGATGGAGAAGAGTGGGAAAGAGAAAGCAGAGGCAGAATTTGGGGAAATACAATTTTTGAGACTGACTCTTGTGTGGGGCTTTTATTTTCTCTTTCTAGAGTTGGAGTTAAGTTCCATCCTTCCCATAGGTGAGTCTGTGGTAGGGGTGGGAACATGGGTATCAGCCTGCATGTTTTGAGCTAGCAGCACCACTTGCCATAACCTGGCTGCTCTGTAGTTGATCTTGACTCTGGGTCCCATGGAATGGGAAGGCCAGGAAGCACAGCGAGGTAGAGAGGTGAACAAACATAGAAGCAGCAATGGGGGCTGAGACCTTCCTGGATTTCTCAAAAGCAAATTTGGTGATAAACATGGTCAATATTTGATTCTCTTTCTAGGAATAATAGAAGAACCTTTCGGACAAAGTAAGTGTTTATTAAGATGGTTGAGTTCTGGTCTTCTGAGTGGGAAAATAAACCAGGCTAACTACTGAAGTCAGAAGTCTCTTTGTAGCTCAGGACACTGAGGTCCACTTCCAAGTGCATGTGTTGTGAGACCCCCTTACTCAGATGCATATGCAACAAATACTTTCTGATGACGCCCAGGACAGCAGTCACTATTGGTGCACCTGAGACAGGTCAATTAATCTAACAGGGAAACAGGCCCACATCTCTGGAGCAGGTACAGTGGTAGTCACTTACTCTCCCTGGATCATCCAGGCCATTTGAAGCCTCATGAGAGAATCAGAGAGCTCAGGACATTCTGATATTGTTCAGTTCTTCAGACACTGAATTGCTGGCACAGCTGTGAGATAGTAGGGGGGACTCCTACGTGCTGGGCGTGATACAAACACAGGCTCACTTAATCCCTACCACATCCCTGTTGAGCAAGCGTTGATGAGGATCCCAGAGCACTGAGAATTTTCATATCAAGAGCTGAGGACAAGATTTTACACCATTCCTGGACATCCAAGAATGATATTTTTGTCATTTTCCTCCACTTTCAGTGATTTTCAAACTCTTTATGACAGCTCCCACGATACTGTCCTCTAATTCCAGAGCTCTGAGATTGTCTAACTTTCTAGAATTTTAGGGCAGTTTCATTGCCAGAGCCTAATCCATGAGCAGAGAAAATTTTGATCAGCATTTGAGAACTGTAGATGAGCTTAGACCTATGGGTGGGAAAGCTTAGTAGATTCCAGGGCTACTAACTAAAAACAAAATGCTTCTGCTTTCTGGTCATTGTCTGAGGACAGATTTTAGTCTTCTAGAAGAGGAGGTTTCTGGGAATATGGAGGCACTGGCACAAGTCTCAAAGGACAGAAGAGATGTCATATTCCATTCTATCGTGGCCATGCTGGGTGACAGAGAAACTATGCAGATGCTGATGGACACGGTGAGGTTCCCTCAGCTGCATGGGCAGATGACACTGTAAGGGGGATGTTTAGAGACTTGGCTGCTAGTGTACCTGAGGGAGAAGAGAAGAGCAAGGTTTCAGGAAGTGGGAAAGACAGGAATGTAGCCCCCATGTGGTGACAATGGTGTTATGACTATTTTTAACAAGAACACCTGTGTTCTGTAGTGGGAAATGGAAACCTTGGGTCATCTGGATGGCCCTGGTGGCAAGATCCTAGATGAGCTCCGACAGGGATCAAGTCCTTCCTGGATTAACCTCGAGTACCGCATTTTTTACCTTCTGGAAGTCCTAATGGGTAAGAGTGCTTGGAGGGCAGGGTGGGAGAGTCCTTATGTTGCATCCCAGTTCTTCTACAGAGCAGCATTAGATGCCAGCTCCCTCAAACCATGCAGTTACTTTGCTTTACATCCTAAGAGCACCTTTCTCTCTAAAATCAGGAGGACTCCCTATGACAGCTCCTTATGTGACATAGACTGGGCTTGAGGCTCAGAAAGCAAGAGGCCACTGATCATATAACCTACACTGAGGCAAATGGTTCCAGCCTCCACCATCAGAATCCACCTTCTCGACCATGTTCTTTAGCATCCTGGATATCATCTCCAGAGCAGAAGGGCTCCAGTGCAGGGTGCTTTACCTTCTGTATAATAGGAATCACTATTCTACCTCAGTATCCCTTGTCACTGGGTCTCCTTCATGGTGAGAGAAAAATGCCTAGACTCTGAATCATGTTTCTTCTGTATGATGTCCCCTTCCCCAGTGCTGAGTGACACCCAGCTTTTTCTGCTGGCCCAATCTGTGGAGAAGAGAATTATGTTTCAGCAACGAGAACTGGTAAGATTTCCTGAGACTCTAGCACTCTGGGGAGAAGGGTGCAAAAACCAGGAGGGACATTCTGTGGAAGAGGAGAGGATAAGATTTTCCGGGGGGGGAGGGGAGTAATGGGATCCCAGTAAGGACCCTCTGGAGAGCTCCCTTCTTAGCCTCAGTCTCCATCAGGATTGTCTCTGTTTGCGATGACACATCTGCAGTGGGCCCCAACATGCCTTAAGGGGGCAGGTTGATGAGAGCTTAGAATATATAATACATATCCTGATATGACTACATAGTTTCCACTTGCAGATTGCTCTTTCTTCACATAGGAGGTATGGTCAAGATATATGTTCAATATTTAAATTGAAAAAGTTATTACAGTAAAAGACACATTGCCATTGTTATTCTCTGCCTCCAAATCATGACCTTTGGTTCAAACACACTGATGCCATCATTCTGACCAGTTTATGAGTCAGTTCTGGAAGTCTTCTTGAATGTATTTGTGAGGTGTGACAAAAATATGGTGTGTGGTATTGCTGAGCACCAACCAAGGAAAACACAGACACATAAAAGCATGACAGCTGAGGGTATAGCTAAGCAGCATAAGTGCCTCTCTGGCAAGGGCAAGGTTCTCAGCTCAATCCTGGGTACCAAAACAAAAACAAAAGCATAAACAAAAACCCATTACCATAGTCCTCATACTCTTTATTTATTATATTGGCATTGTGCAAATTCTGGCTCTTCCCAAACTCAAAATCAGGATGAAAGGTAAACATTTTGGTCTATTCAAAATTTTCTGGCTTTCGAGGACACCACAGTAGGACAACTAAAGACACTATGGAAAGTCAACTTTTAGAACTGGAAAGAATGGTAGGACCAAAGTGTTCCAAACGTGGAGAAATATTTTCATAAGGATTTCTTTTCTTTCTTTCTTTTTTTTTTTTTCCTTTGGCTGGCTTGGAATGTCTTAAGGGCAGATGTGGACAAGCATGAGAATCTGGGGATCGATCCGCAGTATCACAAGCCTGACTGCCTTTGCTTAAAGAGGCACTTAAACAACTGAGCTAATGGGCAGGCCCTGACATATTTTGAATGGATTAATAACAATGTGTCTTATGCATTTTAAAAATGAAAACGTTTTGTGATCCCCTGATGTTTACCTATAAATACATGCATGTATAAGCTTATATAGAATTTAGATACACACACACACACACATACACATTATAGATTCCCAATAGATCTGTACTAGAAGGTATGCTTAAAATAATCTTTTTGTAGCTGAGGATCCAGTGCACAATGATTTTTTAATAACCTGCTCACCCCAAAGCTTGGCCTTAAGGCCTTTGCCTCTTTTGTTATCTTCAGCAGTCCCTGGATATTAAAACAGAAAGTTTCTCTCCCCAGTCCCAAAGGTTGATCTGTAAAATCTGATAATTCTTCTAGGTACGGAGCATCCTAGCGCCAAACTTCAAGTACCCCTGGCACATCCCTTTTACCATCCAAGCAGAGCTCCTCGCCCCACTTCAGGAAGCGGGCTTGCATGTCACCTATGCGCTGCTGGAGGAGTGTGGCCTCAAGATGGAGCTGGAGAGCCCCCGGTCAACCTGGCACCTAGAAGCCAAGAGGCCCTTGTCTGCCCTCTACGGGGCACTGTCATTGCTGCTGCAGCTGGCTGAGGCCTGAGTTCTCAGTGAGTTAGTCTAGGGAGGCCTGGCCTTGCCCAGCCCACATGTGAGAGCCCTTAGCAGGCCTGGCAGGTCGCGCCATGCCCCTTTGCTCCCACAGCATGTAGAGACAGAGTTTGGGAGGAACTTGTGGAAATGATCTTGGGTGAAGGAAGTGCTTCATTTACAAGGATGGATAAGCCTCAAAATTGTGTTTAAGATGTAAACGTAACATTTACTTCAAGATAAGATTGACAAATATTTATTGTAGTCAATAATAAATAACTCTGGAATTACAGGCACGTGCCATAATGCCTTCTCAATTGCCTTCACTGTGCCTCTGGGGTCGGCCAGCATAGCACTCCAGGGATCGAACCCCAGCCACCGTGCTCTGCCTAAGTGCGCTTCAGTCTGCTGAGCGGTCTGGCTAGCCATTTAAGTCTATATTTTAAAACTTAAATAAAAGGAGGGACAGCTGTTGATGGAATGACATATAAACACATACATGGACCACACATAAACATCTTTACAAAATCAGAGTGCAGTCAAATATATTCCTGGCCAGGTTAAATTATGATGACCTTCTAAATTTGTAATTATCAGAGACAAGTCTGAACTTTTGTAGGTCCATTAGCAGAGATCTCTTATAAGAATTTGAAAAATGTAAAAACCTCTTATTTATAATTGCCAGGTTTGAGTAGGAGTAGGTAAACTGGGGAGAGTACAAGGATCAGGCACATCACAACAGAGGAACACTGGCAGCTCATGAGTCCTGGGCTTGCAGGCTGGCAAGAAGCATGTTCTAAGGGAGGAGGCAGGAAGCTGAGACTCAGAATCTCTTTTTTGTGGCTATAATAGGACTTTGCCTGCCAAGGTGGCTGAGGGGTGGGGGAATGAGGGGAGAAGGAGGTGAGCAGCAGGCTTGACTGGGAAGGGCATTGTTTGTTTGGTGTGCTGTTATTCTGCCTTTATTCTAATAGCAGAGGGTGGAGCTCATGCCATTGGGGGGAAAATGTGTCATTAGTTTTCCTGGACCACACTTTGTCCCAAAGTGACAAACCTAGAAGGGCTGGCCCTAGCTCAGTTCTTTAAGTGGATGCTTCCACAAAGCGGTCAGCCTCAGGTTGCTGTAGTTCGATCCCCACAACACTCCAGCCAGCCAAGAAGGCATTTGACTAGCAGAAAAAAAAAATCCTTATGGGAGCCTGCCCCTTAGCTCAGTTCTTTAAGTGGCTGCTTCAACAAAGCAGTCAGGCTCAGGTTGCTGTGGTTCGATCCCCACAACTCAAGCCAGCCAAACCTGCCCTGAAGGCATTCGGACCAAAAAAAAAAAAAAAAATCAAAGTGACAAACTTGGAGGAAAAAGAGACTGTGGTTGCAAGTTGGATGAGTAATAGGAGGAATGCAGGACAGGCTGACCAAGGCAGAAGAGAGAAAGGTGGGGAGAGGGAGCAAAGAGAGAAAGAATAAGGTATCTCCTCAGCCCCTGAAAGTTAAAAGGTCAAAAAGTGAAGTAGCATCTGTTGCAAGAGGGGCTGTTGCAGTGGTGCAGAAGGTGATGTCTCTGGTGCTGGCCTGCAGTGGTGACTATGGTGGGGTCAGCTGTGGCTCTACAGGGTGGGGTACAGGAAAATCTGGGAATGAAAGGGCTGATGGAGAAGGAGCAGATCAAGATCTGGTGGAAGCCTCTGCTAGTAGTATCTGTTGGGGATTATATGACAGGCAGAGCTTATGATGAATAAAGAGAGAAAAAAACAAGGACATAAGGGACTTCAGACAATTTCCCATTGTGGCTACAAAAGTTATATAACTCAATGAAGGTGTCATAATCAAGAGTTCCCTCAGAGGTGTGGGCAGAAGAGGTGGACAGTGTTATCCATAGTGGCATGGATACAGATGAGAATGATAGAGATAGACAGGAGTAGAAAGACAGGGATTGTTTGAGTTGAGTCTCAAAAGGGATGAGAGACCAAAGCCCTCTGAGCAGGGGATCCTTGTCAGAAAGGAGGTTGAGTTGGGGGACTTAGCATGTCTACTCAACTTCCAAGATGAGGGTATGAGGCCAAAAGGCATGAAGCTAGGAGAAAGCCATCCAAAATAGCATTTATCTTCAAGACCCAGAGAAAAGAACATGAAAGTACAGGAAATGATCTCATCTGGGCTAAAGTTGGGGAGGGAGCCATGAAGCCTAGAGCCCTGAAGGAGAAATGGCCCTCTTCCTCTTCCCTGCCTCCCCTGAAAAAATTGGACAATGGGAGAGGCTTGTATTTTAAGATAGGTTAAACAAGGGATACTCACAGTTTTAAATATCATGGGTGTTTAAGTCAGCAAGGGAGGTCTAAGGCTTGCGGTCTGCTCAGAAGGACTGGCAGAGACCAGGGTAAGGCCCTGGTCAGGAGAGACGAGCAGGGGCCTCGGGATCCCTCCTGGGTTTCAGCACCAAATCTTAGGTCGAAACCCATGCAATCGACCAGACCAAGCATTTTGTTGGGGTAAGATTTGTTGGAGGTAGAAGGAAATAGGGCCAACTGTCTAACGAATTGACATAGCAGTGAACGAGACGAAGCACAGAGTTTTTGAGGGGTTAGTGGGGAAGGCGCTTGCAGGCTCGTCCAGTCAAGGTAGGGCAACAATTAATAGGGCTACCCGGTCTGTGGGAGACTTTCAGTGTTCCCAAAAGGGGAGTTTCTGTAGTTTTGACCCAGCTGAGGTCAAAGGTACAAAGTTGGGTGGAATTGTTTCTGTGGTTTGGCCCTGGCTCAGGGCCAAAAGGAAGTGAGTCTTGGAGTGAAGGTGAGTATCCTGACAGTTATTATATTCCATATTTTTATCATAAAATCTATTCCTCAAATTAACAAATCTAGGTATGTGAAAGGGTCAAATAATTAAATATTAGTGCTTGCTTTCAATAAACCTTAATTTGTATTGTCCTTTTTACTTTTATTTTTTAATTTAAATTACACAGTATAATAATAACTGATATGACAATATAAAGTTTACATATTTAGAAGAACAAGACGAGAGGTATTCAACTGTGGCATTTCTATTGCACATTGCTACCTTCCAAGTAGTTACTCAAATTACAGATATTAGCATAAGAGTTAGTCAACAAGAAAATTTTAAAATTGAATGCTACTTGCAAAAAAACTGATAAAAATTAATACTAAAATGATCCCAGCTATCCAGTATACTTGCATGATTTTTCCCTCCTTCCTTTTTTTCTATCTTTTTTCCTTTTCCTCATCTTTGTTGTTTATTCTTTCTGTTCAGTTTCTTTCCATTTTACTATATCTATTATACCTTTCAGATTTTATTTATTCTTTCAGGTCCTTGCACTAGGGAGATAATATGATATTTACACATGTGGGTCTGATATACTTATGAGTATAGCTTCTAGTTACACCCATTTACCTTATAGGTAAAGACCTCAAGTTTGTCTTTCTTTATAGCTGAATGATACTCCATTTTATAAAACTACTGCATCCTGTTTATCCATTCATTCCTTAGGTGATGGGCAATTTGGTTGTTTGCAACATTTAGCTATGACTAATTGTGCTGCTGTGAACATGGGTGCAAATATAGCACTGTGGTGTCCTGTTTTCAGTTGTTGTGGTTTTTTTTTTTTTGAAAGATATCCAGAAAAAAAAAAAGAAAGATACCCAGAAGGGGAATAGCTGTGATGAATGGGACTTCCAATCCTAGCTTCATGAGGCTATTGGACATATCCTCATATCCATAGTGGTTGTACCAGTTTACATTCCCACCAACAGTGGAAAAGTGTTGCTTTTTTTCCTACAGCCTCTCCATCACTTGTTCTAAGTTGATTTCTTTGTGACAGCCATATATACTGGAGTGAGTTAGTATCTCAATGTTGTTTTAATTTGCATTTCTCAATGATCAATGCTGTGGAACATTTTTTCAAAAATTTACTTGCCACTTATACTTCTTCCTCTGTGAAGTGCATATTCATCTCAGACACCCATTTTTGGATTGAGTGTTTGAATTTTGGGGCCTGATTTTTTTTTTAGTTCTTTACATATTCTAGATAGAAGTTCTTTTCTCTTCCAGTAGATTTAGGGTTTCTGTTTTAATGTTTAAACCTCTAATGCATTTTGGCTTTGGTTTAGTGCATGGTGATAGACCAAGGTCTAGTTTTGGTTTAGAGAGAGAGAGAGAGAGAGAGAGAGAGAGAGAGAGAAACAGAGAAACAGAGAGAGAGAAACAGAGAGAGAGACAGAAACAGAGGCAGAGACAGAGAAAGAGAGACAGAGACAGAGACAGAGACAGAGACAGAGAGAGACAGGGACAGAGACAGAAAACAAACCTCTCTCCCTTCCTTATTCATCATCCAGGCTATCTGCCTCAGAGTGGGTGTATCACTATACCCATAAGCCCCGCAGCAGTCACACTCGTAACTCTAGCACTGGAATGTGAATTAGTGACCACCTCTAGAACTCCGCCCTATGACTGCATGACTTTAGGGGGATGACTAGACACAAAGCATAACAATGTGTATATTTTCATTTTCCTTTATTGAAGAGAGTATCTATGGGTATTCCTTTGTACTTTTCTATTTCCTACAATTTAATATCCATATCTTTAAAATCATCTCATATAGAGATTTCAGGTACTCTTTTTTATTTTCTTATTTTTATCTTTTAAAGAATACAAAATGTTAAAAAAAACAGAAACAATATGAAATTTTATTATACAATGTAATAGGAATTCAACAATGGTTGTTATATTGCATAATGGGGTTTTTTAAATTTTTTTATATTTTTTGAGGGGAGGGATGGTCTACAGGGTGTCCAGGATCTCACTACTAGATATTCATTTCTTCTTTATCCTTTACCCCATTCTGATTTCTCTTTCCTTTTGAGAATTTTCTTCTCATTTCACAATATCTATTGTACATTTTGGATCTTACTTATTCTTTTAGCTTCTTGCTAGGGAGAAAATATGATGTTTAAAAATGCTAAACTGTGTTTTTCACTTATATGTATGGACTCAAGTTGCCTC